TGCCATTAAATATATAGAGCAGATAATCTGCCATGCAAGTCTTTCACTGTCACAGGCATTAACCTATTGTGTCTTTCATGATATCCACCCACCAACTTTCCCAATACTATCTGAAAACCATCAGTCAGATTTTGGGAGGTTGAATGTCATGGTTGCTTTCTTTTCCATCTCATTAATCCTTCAGACAGTTTTGATGAATCCACAAGGCAGCTGGACACCCTTCACAAAACTCACCTCCTCAGGAAGGCTCCTTTGCAAAATCACAACAGACCCCCTAGTATGTACATCCATCACTTCTGTGCAGCATGTTCCAACCACTAATGCCATGTGTTCAGCTGTCAGCCTGCAGCAGGAGAAAGGCTTTGCAATCCAGGTAGGTGGAGGCTAAGGAACAGTCAGGTCAGACATGCAGTGCAAGGCATAAGATACTGCTCTCCACTCCTTCTACTGTGTTAATAAGGATTCAGCTGAAGATGCCTTTCTATTACTGTCAGCTTTTCAAATTTGCAATGATTTCTGAAGCAGTTAGTTTTATTTATCCTGACCATTTTCATTCCTGTGAACAAAGTGGCCTTTACTGCTTAGAGCTCAGGTAGATTGATACAGTCCAATGAAATATTTCAAATTCTTGCAAGTAAAACTGCTTTCAAATGACTACACAGCTGCTGGTGTGTGCTTCATGTATTTGCTTTTAATTGTTTAACTATTACTATTGATTCCTCATAGAGGTAATTTTCTGTATGCCACTGAAATCTCCAGAATCCCATGTATTTTTAAAGAATTTATTAGAGCTACTAGAAATTTGTAGTGTTCGTATAAAGAGCCTTTATTAACATGGGAAGTGCTGGAATAAAAAATCCTGAAATATTTTCAAGATGACAACTGAAAATGTCAAGTGAATCTTCTGTTGCTTAAAAGTGAATATTACAAATATAATCTCCAAAACTCAATATTTACACATGATAAAACACCTCTTTGCCACTCTCCTTTAGCTACACAGTACAGCTCCTCCCAGTGTTCTTGTCCGTACCCAAAAGCTTTTGGGAACATTTTGAAGACACTAAAAAAATGACCTAAAAACCAAAACTGTTTTACACAAAAAAGAATAATCTACAGGGTCAATCTCACAACCACTTGCCATTTACATATCTTCAGCTTATGAATGTATCTTAGAATAAAATTGCACAACAATCACCTTAAGTGTATAGTTACTCTATTTTGCTCTTTTTTTTTTTTTTTTCTTTCTTCCAAAGGTGTATTTTTCTTAGATCCCTTTTTGCAAAACAAAGGTACCAGGCATACTGCTTTATTGCCTCCAATATGAAGGTTTTACCTTCCCTTACAATTCTGAGCAATATTTTCTAGTCTTTTATCTTTGCATATTTTGCATGATGGAATTAAAGGACAATCATTTCTCCACTTTAATTTCCAGTAATTAATAAAAAAACATTTTCTAGGTATCTACAAGGATATTTGCTTCACTGGGGAAAAGAAGGAGAGAAAAACCTTTTCCATAAATCTCTGGAATACATTTATATAATGTTAGTTTCTGCTTTTCTTCTAGTCTTTTAAGTAAATTTTAATCTATGAGAAAACAACTGCTACTACCATATATTTGAACTCTATGTCATTGTGTATTTTTTCCTTGACTTAAGCCTATGAAAGTCCTCAAGAAATGACTCAATATGCTGTGTAATTGGCAAATAGTATTTTTTTTGCCATGTGTATTGCATAATGCCATCTTTCCTCTTAAACCTCTCAAATACATACTTCTCTGTCCAGTAAATCATCAGCCTCTACTGACTCACTTCAGTGTTAATAAGTTAAAACCTATTAGCACATTGTCCAAGTAACTAGGGAAGTTACTTGTGACTCAGCAAATCCGTTCAAAGCATTTTTCAACTATTTCCTAAAAAACTTCAGATATTTAGATTCCCATATCATAGAGGCCTATAGGAAAGGTCAGATCAGCTTTTGATTCAAGGTATCAATATCCATCAAAACAGAATGAGAACTTGAAACAGATTCTACAAAGGCCGTGACCAAAAAAAATATAGATTTTCTTTATATTAGGTAGGTATTTGATGATCTTGACAAATGGATTTTTATAACTAATTTAGCTGGGAAAAAAAAATTAAATCTGCTCTTAACTTATCCCTTTTATCTGCAAGGGTGCTGTTATAATGCTGATTTTAAATTCTGCATTTACTGATCCTATTCCTTTATAATTCTTTCCATAAAATAAAGCTTTAGCATGAATACCAGACTAACAGCTTCCTCACACACATTCTTACATGTGCATGCAATAACAGGCTTTCCTAGTAACCTACCATTTAGCTCACTGAGTCATTCCCCTTCCTCCTAGCACCTATCAAATGATATCTCATCTTCATGCTTTAAAGATCCTTGTAATACATTGTGCATTATTTTAATGAGATTTCCCTCCCATTCTTGTGTCAATCACTCCTTATTACTTCAGCCACTTCTACATATTCTCATCAATGCCATTGTTTTTAGTTAAATTCAAATTCAGTGCAAGTTAAAACAGTGAGTCTTCAACATTAGTATTTATATGACTGTGAAAACAGATTTGCCTCATGAGGGGAGCTTCATTCTGGGAATTCATATAACTTTCTGGTTTTAGTGATTTCAACAAGATGCATTATTTTATGATAACGCATCTGTATTTGTAGGAAGGTGCTATGACATCCATTTCTGTATTTAAAAGCCACAATAGTTTCTCCTTGGATCTAGGTAATTGGGAAGAATAAATTCTGTCTAATGCTCTCCAGCACAGAAAGGAAACCCTGCAAAACAATTTATTGGAAACAGATTAAAAGAAACTCTAACATGACAGCAAACCAAACCCATGGTAATAGTTTCTGAAGTAGTCCACACATTTCTGTTTAATTCCTCTTAGTCAGTATGGATCACTAACTGGTTATGAAAATACTCTCTAAGCAGTGTTTTTGTTATTGCTGGGGTTGGGGGTGCGGAAAGACAGCAGACAACCACTTCAGAAGATCTGGACTATAATAAAGTTAACATTTTGCATGGCAGAGCATTGTCTTTTCAGAACTCTGCATCAAGGACCCCCGATGCCACATGACTTGAATATTTTTTTTTAGACCATGGGTTAAAAACAAATGAAAAGTTTGATTGCAATAAGGTCTGCAAACCACAAAAGAATCTGCAGAGTTTCTGCTTGTTAAGCATTTGTTTCTTCAGTACCTCAGATTAGTTTAGACACAGCATAAGAGAGTATGCACAAAGAAATGCCATGGCTTTTTGCATTGAGATCCCTCACTCTCTAGAGGCATGGTTTTATTTAACTGTTCATAGACACATGACATACCACAGGAAAAAAAAGAAGAAAATAGAATAAAATATCTGCATTGGCTTGATACCATCAAGCTGGAAAGTAGACGGACAGGGGGATATACTAGAGTATATACTGACAAACTTCTCAGTGCATGGTTGGGAAACTCATTAATTCAGTCACATCGTCAGCTCAGTTATTATAAGACAAATATCCTTCCATTGTGCAGGAAGAAGAAAAAAGGAAAAGACAAGCAAATGAAATTTCATACTGAAAACTCAGTGAAGTAACTGTCTCTTTATCTATGTACACTGAAGAATACAGCTCTACCAGGAGACCAGCCATCTCATGCAGTTACATCAATCAGGTCAATAAAGCTTAAAGTGGACAGAAACAACATCTTAAAAGCCATTTCCATGATCAAAGACATTGTTAAATACTCACACAAGAACATTCTACATCAGGCAAATCCAGACAGTTTAAGACAAGCTAAACAAAGAAGTCATTGAGGCCATGTCATTGAACGATTTTTAATGTACACTATTTATTCTTTAAATTTGTAGTTTCTCTTTCTACCAAATGCCTGATTATTTTTCCTTGGTTATTGTATATTCTGCAGGACAAAACAATGTCCTCTAGGAAGGTAAAGGGCTTTGTATATAGCAAACACTGACCCAGATGTACTTCCCAAGGTTTTTGCATTTTTCTGCCCAAGTGCCAAACTGCTCAGTCAAGTAACAATTTCTGATGAAACTTATCAATTATAGAATTATTTGATATAATTATATAAGCACAAACAACAACAGCACTATTGTGCACATCATTACAATTAATCTTCACCATGCAAAATCCACAGCTTTTTCTAGTTTGTAGCTTCTTCCCCCAAATACTTATGTCCAGCAGGCAAAAACATCTAAGCAAACTGTAAAGTCTTTAAACCAGAGCAGGAAACTAAGTGCACCTAAACTACAATCCATTCTTTATAACATGGTGCATAGCTCTCCTAAAAGAAAACCAACTGTTTATTCACCATCTTACAGCAGAGTTTTTTGAGATTTAGGAAAAAACCTGGCACCAGTTTTTCAAATTTAATCTTGAGTAATTTCAAGTAATTTTGAAGAAAACAAGACAGATCTAAAATTATTTATGTTTTATTATGTTTTTCTCCTTTACCATAGTGTTAAGGGAGACTACATTTTAAATAAGCTTTTAGTTCATTATGCTAATTTAGACACATGATCTCCATCTAACCCAAAAAATCTAATTCACAATTCCTAAAAGAAAAATAACTTGTACACTTAACAGAGCTGTTCAAAGCTGCTGCCTTCTTGAATCTTCCAGTTTATTCTCTAAGCTTTTATGTCGTTAGAGGGATCAATTTACAATTTATGTAGATTCGTCAGCAGATTCAAATTAGGAGTAATAGTGTAAACTTGTAAACTCAAGAGAACATACTGGCTGTTTTCACTTAACATTAAGGTAAGACACAAGGTAAGACTCCAGAGTACAAGAGGGAGTGAGTTGTAGGGCTTTCTGAAGCCTATTGTAATGTTTCATTGCCAAGCCTGCATTTTTTTAGGAAGGACACTGTCCAAGGCAAAAATAGGGATTTTATGGCAAGTGAATGATGTCTGTTTTAAAAACTGGATCCCTGCTTATAGAAGAAAAATAGTGCTTTTACCTTACTAATAAGTGTGACGACATCACCTTCTCGGACTGTGAGTTCATCATCATTCTGTGCTTCATATGGAAATATCACTTTGCAATACTCCTTGGCTGAAAAGAAGAACATTCAGTGTGATAAATTATCACTTTATAACAACTGCTTATACAAGGACAAAAATCTTCCACAATTGCATCTTTCATTTTCTCGCCATCCTTCTTCTAGAATTTTAGACCTTTACAATCAGTATAAAATATTTTTAAAAGTGCACACAGGTGAATGTTCCTGCACAAGTCATCCAGGGAGTTGGCTCTGCAGACCCCAGGACCATTTTCTCAAATGTAATTGTTCCAGGTGGCAACCTGCCACAAACCATTTCCCTCAGAGCAAGTCTGTATCTGGTACTTGCTTCAAAAGTTCCAGAGGTAGAGCTTTCAGATCACACACATTGGAAGCATAAAGGACCCAATAGGTTGGCATAGCTTATCTATCCTCTGGTGTCACAAAAAAGCAGATATTTCTGTCTTAATAAAGATGTTTAAACAATAAAGAATAAATTAATAAATTTAAAGACATTAATAACTAAACCTTCTCTACACTCAGCCTCGAAGAAGAGTTTTGAATATTGGTCTAAAATTTCCTCTTCCCTTTTCCCTTTAGTGTCTATAAATAAGGGCATCATCGCAAGTTTCATCTGGAAAATACAAGAGCCAGCACTCCTACTCAGAAATCGTAAAAAGCAGTTGTCATGAAAAGCAGTTTCAACATGTTGCTGTGCAACAGGCAAGTATGTCAATGTGCCTTGCAAATAAAAAGGGAATATGTATTCCAGCTGTTAAATAATGTATAAAAATGTGATACTCTAAGGCAGCAGGTTTGAAAAGACCAAAGAAACGAGAGAAATTAGTGGACACTTTGTAGAGGAGTATGCGATTTTGTAGTGTTCATCTCATTTAAATGTCTGAATTTTTATAACCTCTACCTCTAGTCAACTGTCATGTTTGATGAAGAGAAAAAGGTACTTGCAGGCCACAGAAATTAAATTAATTTGAAACAAGACCTATTTCTTTATATTTACTAGAAAGAGAACCTACATTATCACAATTGCAGGTATTTGAGGCTCCACTGAGGCATCAGTTCACCTGCCCAGACAGTAGGTGCTATTTCAGACACTGATGGGTATGAAAGACACCCACCTGGTTGGCAGTTGGCAGATATGATCCGCAAGCAATTAAGAGCCAGGTCACTCTGACCTGTCAGCTGGAGGCAAGCCAAAACACCCTGGGGTACCTCAAACACCTCCAGAGGCAGGCTGCTGATTTCAGCCCCCAGGGTTGGGTCTGGTATCTGGATTTAGATTTGGGCACCTGATGTTAGAAACTGACAATGTCAGTGCCTATGTTTGCACTCCAGTCAATGGAAATCCAGTCATTAGTGGGTGGGAAAGCTTGAGAGCTGTTCCTCACCCCAAGAGCAAACTTCTGCATTTGATTAGATGAATCATGCTCTCAGCTCCCTGGACAGCAGTGACAGATCTCCACTGGGATCCATTGGAGCTCAGACACCAAACTCTCATGGCTATACCAAAACTTAGGGCTCTGGCTAGGAAGTTACATTCCCAATGCTAAAGTTAAGTGGCAGAAACATGAACCTTAGATAAGCAGTCAACACATGTGCATGTGAAGGCTTGCTGTCTGCAAGGACAATCAGCCTGAGAAACAAAACAGTAATAATGAGGAAGAGGAAAGCTTTTCTCCAGTTCACACACTGCCATTCCTAAATGGTGTGAATTTTATGTGGCAATGGTTCAAGTAAGCAAGAATTTCTTTCACTTCATACATTTCTTTTCCTGAACACAAAAATTTAAATTTACCCACAATCACCAGTAGTTGGTTTTCTGGCCTTGTCCTGTACTGGGTCTGGCTGAGGTGGAATCAATATATTCTTCACATCAGCCCACATGGTGCCATATTTTGGATTTGTGACTAAAGCTGCACTGGTAACACACCAGTGTTTTGTCTATTGCTGAGCAGCACCTGCACAGCACTAAGGCCTTTTCTTCCTTAACTGTCCCTCTCAGCAAGTAGGACAGGGATGGGCAAGGAGCTGGGAGGCGACAAAGCCAGGACAGCTGACACAAGGTAAGCAAAGGGATATTCCATGCCATACATGCTCTGGCTCAGGAAACAAAAGGAGGGTTTGGGGAGTGTTGGTCTAGGAAGCAGCCATTGCTTGGAGACTGACTGGGCATTGGTCTGCTTGTGCAGGTGGTGAATCATTGTCTTTGTATCCCCTTTTTTCCTTTTTCATTCACTTATTAATCTGCTTTTATCCATGAGATTTCTTGCTTTTGCTCCCTCTATGGGGGAGTGAGTGGCTGGGCGGAGCTCATCTGCTGGCTGGGGTCAACCCACCATGCCCTGATGTCTCTGAAGAAACAAAGGGCAGATTAAGACAACATACATGGTACGTGAAAAAAATATCAGCAAGGGAAAAATAGGCCACTTTTGCTGTTTCTGAGAGTAGGGAACACTGTCAAATAAATATTTGGTAACATTGCCAAATGACTGGGCATGTGAGAACCACCACATCACAACTCAGACTTCAGGCGATGAAAGGGGTGTCTCACTGCTAGTTTACTGCATTCTGGAGGAAGGGTTTGCTTTTCCCTTCATGGAGCCAGCTAGGATATTTCACTGCTCACTACCTTGTCTTCAAGACAGTATAGTAAGATTTTATGTAAAGACTGATGGAAAGTTGACACTGACAGGTTGATACTGACAGGTCAGGTAGATGTAGAGCAGCATTTAAGAGAAAATTGAGATTCAGCACATTTTTATGCCTCAGTGTGTACATTCCCTTAAATAATAATGAGTGGGTTTTTTTCCGATTCTAAGAGTATCCACATGCTGAAAAACTGCTTTGCTAAATAATAGATTCAGTGAATTAGTACAAAGATGATGTAGATAGAATACGATACTAAAGAAGCCGAGTGCTGCATACTCAGGGAAGTCTCTGGTTACTGGAAACTAGCTTAACACTTCTTTTTTAAGATGCAGAACAGAAGCTCAGAGGTAAATGCCACCTGGGCCCAAGGAGGATCATTCTTGAGTATCCATTCTAAAGAAGTAAAATTCTTCTTCCATTCACTATATAATCTATACACTGTATAATCTCGAGACCAGATGGGAAGCCAAGCTTAATGCACAGCTACTTAACAGAGAAGAACAGCCACTATGCCACAGTGACAGCACTGTTCTGAAAGGGTGCCAGAGGTGCAGCTCTTGCCAAAGGATGAATCCCATGGGTTTCATGTTCAAGTGAGCTTTGAACAGCAAGTGTCTCCAGGGCCCTCATGTCTCCTGAGCCCTAGAAACTCACAATCCTCCCTCAGCTCCCCCTTGCTATTTGAAGGCTGTAAATTTGAACCATTCTTCAAGATAAAGACCCTGAGAGACAAGAATGGAGAGACAGTTTCAGCATCTAAGAAAGTCAGATGATAATCAGAACAGTAAGTGCTCTTTCTTTTTTTTTTAAGCTTTTCCTCTAGAAGGATGTGGATCTCACAGTAATAGGCTGTCAAAAGCAGAAATACTTAGCAATGAACTCACAATCTTTCACACATAGCAAATCACTACACATCTTCACCTTCTAGTTTTGATGTCAAGAACTCTGTTCTCCATGATGTTTCCCTCCCCACCAAGCTCTTTCCTTTTAAAATAAAAAATAAAAAAATTTCACATAGCAGAGAAACAAGGAAATAAACTAGAGAAAAATGTCAAAAACAGATCTTAAGCTCTGCCACTTGCTGATGCAGTTCATAAGGAGCCAGAAGGCAATCCTGTGAGAGGCTCAGGAGCTGTGCTGGCTGCTGGCCACCCCGTTCTCTGAAGGCTGGCACAGGAACACAGGGTGATGGCACAGCCACAGAAAAAAATAATGGTTTGTGTACAGTAGAAGTCTGGACTCCTTGAGTGCAATTTGCACTGACATACACTAGATCAATACATTCCTCTGCCTAACAAGGACCCTGTGGATCATGCTGCAACAGAGCCAGGTCTCAACAACATGGATGGGTTTGGAACAATGTAAGGGACTGAATAAAGTCTGCTTTCAAACTTCTCCTAAGGGAATTGTAGACCAGTATAATTTTAGTAAGTAAAAGCAAAGCCAACAGGAAAAATATGAACCTTTAAAATCAGATTAATAATAGCAGGTAAGAATCTAATAGGTTATGTCACTTCAGTACTAAAATTGTCCTTAGTCAGCAGAGCACAGTGCCACAAGTGCAGAAGCAACAGTTATGTTTAGATAGGAAGAAAAGAGAAAAGGAAATTCTCATTTCAGACATATCACTGAAAGAGCACACTTGAACTTGCTGTATTTGAGGGTTTTCCAAGTGGAAAAAAACAAACACCAAAACAGTAAAGGTCAAAATAATACATCCTATTGCAAGCCTGGTAAACAGACTTAAGCCAAATTAAAGCTTCAAACTGAGATACCAATATTAAGCATCCCTCAACTGTAGGTGATAAATCCCATTTTTACATTTGACATTCAAGACTGGGTTTATACAAGACAGATGGTTCTCCCAGAAGCCTCTTTTTTTTTCTGACCTGAAGACATTTTTAAAATATACCTGCTAATAAACCCCCAACAGCAGACATCTTGAAAACAGTAAGGGAGAAGAAAATATATTAATGACCTTTTCAATCTTTATTTATTAATTCAACAATAATTCACTCTGTCAGACCACAGAGTCTCTTCCTGTCAACTCACAGGTCCTCCCCAAGCAAAGGAGAACAACTTGCCATAGGCAATAGGCATTGGTCAGGAAACTGAGGAAGAAAGCAGATAAACCTTACAGTGTATCTTTCAACTCGAACAGGCTGGAGATAATGCAGGATATTCAACATTCGGAACAGAGAGGGCTTGGGCCAGGTATAATCCCATTTGAAAATATGTACCTTTGGCTACATCCTGTGATTTTTGAACTTCACTGTTCCAACTAGACTAAGTGCAAAACAACACGACAATAAGCACCTTCTCTACCCACATCTCTCTTAGTCCTTTCCTTTGGAAGGAAAAACAAAGCCATTGCTAGCTTCTCTGTCAGACCCCAAGGGCCAAGGGGTCTGACACACAATTCCCTTTCCTAACATCATCCTTGCAGTTCAGAAGTTGGAAGAAAAGGCAGCAGCAAAGAACTAGATATTTATCACAAGTGGTCTGTCACTGCTCACACTTCATTGAGGAGGAGTCTCAGGACCACCCTAAACACTATAAAGGGACTATCCTGTAAAAAGAACTGGATGTTTTACTGTGGTGGTTAACACGCATGTCTTTTCAGTACCTTACACCCCACAGTCCCAAGTCCAAAATGTGGCCTGATACAGTCTCAAGCCCTCCCAAAAATCTTTGTCTCAAAGACAGAACAACAGCAAGAGATAGCCTTCCTACAGAGCACAGCTGCTTCATTATCTAGACCATTGCAAACACTGTATTTCACCCACAGAATTCAGTCACTTGATAGGTATTTACAATTACAGTGCAAAGCACTGGTTTCAACGTATAGACCTTCTGTGTGACCTGGGGTCCTGCAGTTCTGTGGCAGGTAAATTAATTTGTTTGTCTTTTGAGAGACTGGTTAAATATTATACTTTTCAAACCAGAACTAAACGAACTCCATTTACTATGGAGTAAATATCAGTGGACCCTGTTCACTTCAAAAGCATGTCTCTGCTATTTGTTCTCCTGCCAGACTCTTAGGATGAGCTGTGAGGTTCAAGACAGCAGATCACAGACAAACATACCTTCAAGCTTAAATTTCACAAGGGATGGTGACTCTGGAATTTGCTTTTTGTCTTAGGCCAGATCGACACAATTTCCTCTTACCTCTGCTTCTGCTTCCCTTTTTTTAAGCAAGAATTGTTCCACCCCACAGCAAGATTTCCTGCAGCTCAGATAACCTAACGACTGGGCTCAATTAACCCTTCTAACTTTTCAGAAACTATTTATTTATTTGTTTTAGTAACGCAAACAACAAACCTGTATAGTTGATTTTTGAGGCTTAAATATTTCTCCCTTGATGAAGTCTAAAACACATACCAGTCAATAGGCCACAAAGAGTAATACTAAGTAAGAAAACAAGCAGAATTTAAAAAGTATTCCTTGAGTTTAAGCTTCCTCTCTTTAACTATCATTCAAAAAATGTTTCTGAAATGGAATTAAATGTAAAAAAGCCAGTGAAAAATCACATCATTGTTAACAAAAACACAAACCAGATTAAAAAAACACAACATAACACTACACGTAACAGAATTTTGTTTAACTGCTACCCTCAAGACTCATAAATGGATTTCACTAATAAACATTTTCATGGAACTTTATGAGATTCAAATTGACAAAATACCAACTTATCAAACAACAGAAACAAAACTAATTAGGGTCCTATTAATCTAGATTCAGCTACTTCTTACAACATAGTCTTTTCACTGCAAACTACTTAAACTAAGAACAAGCTATTTAATTTAAAAAACAATATATCTCACCCAGAGATAGAATTATGAACACACAAGCATGCATGTGTCATCCCAGATATGTTAAAGAGATGGTAATTCAACAGCAGAATAAATCCCCTCCAAGTCTAGGCACCTGCAAACCTAAACGAAACAGCTCTCCCCTCTTCTTTTCAAAGATGCATTCCTGAAAACTTAATGATGTTTTCCAAGGGGACCACTCCAGCTCTGTAAGGATGTGTGCTTTTGCCATGCTCTCCCTTTGAGCAAAATACCCTCTTCAGCACTGAACAGTCACCTGTTTATGACGCAAAAGCTTAAGCCCACTTCCTAGGGAGGTCTACATAGCACGTTATTGGAAGATGCACTTATAGAACATACTGCTCTGTCTCTTTGCTCTGACCAACTCATACCGTTGCAGAACTTAGGCCCTGTTGTATATACTGAGAGCAAATAGTAAGCATATCAAGTGCCTTGCTGAAAATCACTGCCCTATGGCATCAGGAAAGCTACAGGAAAAAAAGCAGACTCAAATCAAGATGTGGGAAAAGTCAGCAGCTATCTTGCCATGATGAAGCCCCTGTGGGCAGGGAGGGAAGATGCTACCATTCCCCATTTCCTCTCTCAGCAGGCTCTTTCACAGTGCATTTTTTTATCCAGTTGAGACTTAAGGAATAATAGCATCAGTCATGGGAAGATGCAGGTGGAAGATGAAAAGTTGTATGATTCCTCTACCAACATGATCTCTCTCTTACTTGCAGCATACATCTCCAGCAGTAATCCCAAGGGAATCTAAATCACATTTCCAAAAGCCCTGTCTCCATACTGAGCTTAATCTGTGGATCTTCTGTTTCTTGCTGCTTCTTTGGAGAATAGTGCAGTATCTTTTTTGTTCAGAAATTAAAGACTCCACAAAACACTACCATTTCAGGCAAAGTGAAAGTAGCTGAGGTCCAAGATGGAATGATACTGTCATGCTGAACACTGCAATTAGAACATTCACCAGTTTTCTGATACTCCAAACTTCCCTGGATTCAATGCTTTTTAAAGCTTGTTTGTGGTGGGTTTTAGGAGAAAACAAAAATTTAATTTTGGAGAAATGACAAATACTAGATAGATCCTAATCCTATGCCAGACTCTGATCATACTCCTCTCATCTGACCATCAGACCTTATCTGTCTTATGAAAAAATTAATCCTCTGCCTATATAAAAACCAAACCAAACCAAAAGAGGCATCTGTCTCATAGCCTGGCTTAACACACTTACTGCTGCAGGTGGGAAAGTCCATGAGACCACCCCTTCTGGTGGCACCTGCACTCCAGTCAGCTTAACCGGCTCAAGCTGCAGGTTGGAAAAGGTAATTGCAAAACACATTGGTTCAGGAGCTCTGTTCTACATTACTAGTTTGCACATTTTTCGTTATTTCAAGATCTCAGTTCCTCAGGGCAATTGAGTTCTTGCAGTACGTCCCATTAACAGCCTGGTGTCCCAAGGGGAACAAGATAAGAGGATGCAGCAATTCAATTAGTGCAGTGCAGCTAATGGACAATAACTTGTTAAAAGCTGTTTTAAGCTGCATTTGCAACTGTGAGCTGAAAAAATGTTGTAAACCAAGTCGTAAACATACACTTCTCTCAGACAAACCCTGTTCTGCTTTCATCTGTATGTTCGTAAGTGCTTCAGTCCTGAGACAAAATGTTATCTGCTAACTATCGAAAAGTATACACACATCAGACAAGGAGAAGGACTGTGTAAAACTTAAAACCTCAACACTTCATATTTTACTCTATTTCTTTGCTAAGGTATGGCTATATTCTCTTCCTTCTTATTCTTTTCTACCAGAATCCACAACATTTAGTTGTAACTTTACACAAATAAAAACCAAAATCTGGGGAAGTTATTTGGTAAGCTACTTAGAGATGCCTTTCTAGAACAGCACTGAGATCTGCCTAAAAGATCTAATAATTGCTTTTTGTTTGCTAATCACTGAAATGACAAAAACAGAACTGAAGTTCTTGGACACTGTTCATTTCCCATACAAACCATACCACCCACACAGATTGTTTCTGCTATATAAAGGAAGAAAAAAGAGGAAAAAATCATGGGCCCTCACAATCAGAGATATTTCTCTTTGACCTACCTACAAGTTACAGCCTGAAGTTGGATCTTACTCAACTCTGATGAATTCTGAAGTAACCTCAAAGCTGAAAGCGGATCACATAGTTTAATTTGATTTTTGGTGGCAGAAAACTTGAGGCAGGATTGTAAGAGCAAAAACAAGTCAGAGGATTCTGTGAAATAAAGCATTCTATCTATGTACTATCTTCTCAAAGTTTACCCTAAATACATATATCTGCATCCTTGCTTTTCGTATATACAGGACACTTAGCTAAATTCAGAAAAAAATGTTCAGCTTGCTTTTAAGAGGCTTAACAGCATGGAGTGCAAAAAAGAAAAATGATGAAACCTACTTTTTGTTCTGCTGTCCACTTCTATTTTTGTTGGCTCCTGAGTTGCTGTGGCTGGAGGTAATTTCTTCCCAACACTCTGAAAAAAAATAAATTATTCTCCTTTAAGCTTTGCAGATTCATTTAAAAGTTGGACAACGTAGAAATCGTTATGGAAATACAAAATATAAGCATAGAAAAAGGGCAGTCAAGAAACAGAGGCAAATTAAACTATACTTAGCTTTGTCTGGGGGTTTCTGTTAGCTTTGAAAAAAAAACCTATAAAGGATTCATAAAAATATGATTCTCAAATTTTCCCTTTAAAAATGCTTACTACTATTTTTTAAAAATAACCAAAATAATCCCTTACCACAAGTATAGGAAAGGTTCACAGAATTTTCTTTGGTGGACTGAATATGTGATGAAATTATTTAAAGAAAGGTGCTACTCACCATCAAAAGTAAAAATCAGATGGGGGGTGAAAACCCTTAGCTTGTCTCCATATGAGAAGTATTTATTTCAGTCATTCTAGATTGAGTGTGAATTTAAGTTGACAACATCTCTTTAAATGGTTCTAATTTTTATGTATTCTGAGCAAAAATAACTAATTTATAGAGGGATACTACCATAAGCAAAGATAAGCCTCAGCCAGTTAAGCTGAAGAACAGAAAACAACCATTATTTGCTTCCAACAAAATAAAATAGGTGATATTTATGTACCTTCATCAATTATTATATGCATGCTCTCCCCTCAGCTTTTCTCCCTATCAAGAAAGCTGTCTAGCTTTAAAATCCCAGTTATGTGTAGTTAGGGACATATCTGTAATTATTACTTGTTTATATAGATATGAATACCTAAAAGCCCTAGCTTTTTTCAACATCCTTTTCTGGTAAGGTACACCACAAAACTCCCATGACTTTCTGAGTAAAAGCTAAAAGACAAGAGAGAGGTAGTTTCGAGAGCTATACAGAAAACTGTGTTGACAAGTAAGACAAACTATGAATTCCAATACCTAGAAGTGTCTTGTGGTAGCAGAAAAAACTGACCTTCTGATGAGCTTACAGCTCTACTTACAATCTAGTGTTTGTCAACTGCTCTGGAAGAGAGATCAAAACCTAAACTCTACAGAACCTCCTGACTTCTCTGCTAATGTGGGAATGAGAGATGAGAAACATTATATGAAGCAGTGATTAGGAGGTTATGGAAAAAACAAGAGATGACTAATTCCTGCAAATCAAGAGAGGGCAGAATGATGAAAAGAGTATGAGAAGCTTAAAGTCAAGAAGGATGAGGATGATGAAGAGCTGATTCTGAGATCTAGCTGGAAAGCAGTGAAAATTGTACTGGAAGAGATAGAATTTAGAATCTTAAGCTACCAGGCATACAGATAAAAGCACAAAATGCCTTCAAGATGGAAGCAAGACTGGAAAGAGAGCTTTCAGTTCCGAGGTAAACAGAATAGTCACAGAGAGCTGCACATCTCAATACGTGCTCATTCAAAATCAAAACTTAATTCATAGTTCTGCTTCATAAAATTGTTCGGCAAATTATAAAAGCACATACTCTAAACTGCACTGCTACTTAACTCAGAAAGGAATGCTTACTAAAGGAATACCCAAATAATTTAATTTAGGGGATTTTTTCTTTTTTTAAGGATGAAATAGATCTTAAAGAACAATCAATTAAAGGAAAGCATTTAGTAATTGCTTTATCATTCATGAATTATTCATGTTATGCCATGAAACCAAAACCCAAATAAACCCACAATGAGCTTAAATTTAATAAGCGAAAAACCACAGCAAAAGAATCACACACAAAGAGGAAGAAACTGGTGCATTCCAGTGGGAAGTGCATGCTGCAATGTAATGTCTTAATTTATAGAAGCAGATGCAAGTGCTTGAAAACATTCTTTCATCTGCTTTTTCAGAAGGAATGCCTGTGCAGGTGATAAATCAGCGTGAGGAACTAACGGACTCCTTGGGAACAGAAAAGAGAATACCATCCAAACAAAGTTGTTCTTTTGTTGGGAGAGCAGGATCTTCAACCCTGCTAGCGTCCTCTGATATCTCCCAGCATAAAATCCCTCTGTCCATTTACCTAACTCTATCATTTTGTCAATAAAGTTTGCCATTAAAAGTCACACACAGAATGAACCAGAAGGCCCATAATGACCCCCTCTCAGCAGTGTCCTAGTCATCAAGCTGCAAAGACAAGTGAAGTTCTGCATTTTCTGTCTGGCCCTATATATTTTGAATGCTTGACTGCAGACTGGTTTCAGCACCAGCAAAAAGAGTAGCATATTCCCCTCTGCCTTTGTACTCCAGTCTGGTGGTTCGGAGACTCTCCTGAAGAGTAACATTTCAGCTTCCTTCTGCCCTCCTCCAGTACGCTGATTGCCATAAGTCTCATTTCTAGATGGTAGCAGTCAGCCTTGTTCCATTTAGGTTAGTCTACAGATATTATTCTGACTTGCTTAGTCCTGTCACACAAGAAACACATGGTGGAAATGGAGTTCACATTTCCTGACTCTAAGCCTAGGTTGACTCCCAACAGACAACAGGGCATATAAACAAAACAGGCAGAATCTTTATCTCTCTATTTCTGCAAGGCGAATATAATTAGATTATTTAGCTGTCAGACACAAATCCTCCTCATACAAGTGAATTCTAAAGGGGATTAAGTGCCCTCTTGCTGCAGAAACAGAGGATAAAATCATGAATAGTGACCATGATTTGGTGTACAGATATTCAAAGGGATGAGACAGATTAAGCAGCAACCTGCCAGTCTTAATGCCTGTTTTTATGAAGCAAAGAGGACAGTCTAGTATTAAATAACAGGCTCTGTTAGCAGAAGAGGCCTTGATGGCAGTCTGGTACACTGCAAATCCCTATCACTGCAGACCACCTTCCTCTGATACTAAATTAACAGCGATTACAAAAGTGGTTGAGGTGGCACACAAAGTCACATAAATGAGGTCATGGTACAATCTAAACAGTCTCATTTCCTTACATTTATGTATTTTGGCTCAACTGCAATGCCTGCAACAGCAGAGAACAACAGAAGAGTAGCAGAGCATGCAATGGACAGAATTCAAGTGACTTTTCTTCACTTGAGGACATTATGGCCCTTTCCTGCAACTACTGAACCCTGACCAGAAGAAGAAAAGTAGACCTGTGAACAAGTTTCTTCCTGTGTGGTATTTTAAAATGGTATTTTGGGGGTTTCTGTTGCTGTTGTAAACAGACTTGTCTATTTACTTTTGTTGTTCAGTCTTCTGTCTCTAGAACATTGCATCTGAAAATTCAAACTGACTTGTCACTTGCACACCAGCTAGGTCCATATAAAATATTTTTTTATACTTCTCTGCACTAAAGGAACATACTTATCCTTCGACTCTCCTTTAACAAAAATAGGCTTCCCCAAGCAACAGCTTGTTTATTCAGGAATAAGGAAAATAATATTTTATCAGCATCAGTATTTATTCTGGGAAGTGTATTAAGGTCTTCACCCTAGATAAAATATTTTGGAACTACTACTTGAAATCTAAGTCCATCAAGATAGTCTTAAGGAATACATCAGACATTAAAGAATTTATAAAAATGGGCTGTATCAGTCAGAAACACTAACTTTTAAGCTTAGCATAATTTGTCAGTTTGAATAGTGAAAATAAAACTATTTGCACTGATGTTTCATACAAGGGAGGAAAAGACAGCTACGTACCTTGAGAACTTTTAGAATTTCAGAAACCTCAGTGATGAGGTCAGGGGAAAAAAAGCACTCTGTGTTTATCTGACCACAATACTTCCTTTTAACATTCAACTACTATTTTTGAATGTTGTTTACACGAGTAAGAATTTTTTCTATCTATAGGTTTTTGTGCAAATCCAAAGCTACTTTTAAGTAACACTGTAAAGGCTGTATTCTTTAAGGTGTTTTTCACAGCCATTCTGTAATTGGGAAGATTTTATTTATTTATTTATTTTTTTCCCACAAAGAAGCAGAAATGGTCACTAGATTCTTCCAGTTGTGGATGAACAGAAGCATAAATAATCCTCTCACTGACTATGTATGATGCTGGTGGTGTAAGGGGGAAGCCAAGTTATTTCACTTTTTTCTAATATGCTCCAAATGCTTAAGAAACATCATCAAGTCCTCTATCCATCCTACCTGGACTAACTTAAATTAAAAAAAAAATTTAAAAATTGAACTAAAAATATAAAAACCCAAAAGGCTTTCAGATGTCAAAATGTCCTTACATTGTCAGAGATAAATAAGATAAATGGCCAGGATTTCATTTTTTCCCCATGATATCAATATTCAACTCCATATACAAGTACTTTCTGTGACAGCATGATCAAGTATTGCTACCCTGGGGTTTCCCAAAAGGACAGAGTTAACAGTTTTCCTAAAGGGTCACCACATGGCACTTCAAAGATGGTAATGGAAATTTTAAGAAACATACGGAAAACAAAAATTCTCCAGGGAACATGTGGTTAAGCTCCTACCTGCGTATCTGAGTGCCTCAGTCATCTAAAATAGCTCCTTCCTCTGTACGTCCTTTCTAGTCACCTCCTCTCTAGTCAGCTATACTTTCTATTCATAAGCTCCTGAACCACAATTATTTATATTCTTTAATCCCAAGTAGATAGGTACATCTACCCAATGCATGCCCAGCTAATACAGAGAGACTCAGTTGCCCAAGCTGCACACACTGCTACTGACATCATCTATGAGGACATTTCAGCCACAATGCAGGGTAATTTCCTTAAAATCAGGTTAGGTGAATAAAAGGGATAGGAAGAAAGTGTTCAACTCCTCAACTACAACCAGACTTGCAAGCACAGGCAGGTGACATTCTCCTGCTCCTAGTTTACTATGAGTATGAGCAGAGAGACAGGATGCCTCATGATTGATGTCTTACAGGTGTCTCATAATTCCCTTGCTGTAAGCAAAAGAAATGGAACAGCCCAGCTGCTGCCCAAGCCCAGTCACTAAAGGTGTCCATGTCCCCAGGATGTAGATTCCTGCCACCACTCTTCCCCTCTTTAATGTTATCTACTTCACTAAACAGCTACACAAATATCTGAGTAGAACTAAGG